TCTGTATATGAGGGTCGTTAATTTGATTTTCGGATTCATAGATGGAGATAGATTAAGACTTCAGTTAAAGTTGGACATATTTACACTCAAAATCAATTGATATACTTTCATTCGTGTCATGTGTCCGATTTTTATTTCTACTTTTACAATAGGCTGACTACTCATCTTTCCGGATTTGTTGGCTTATGTTGAATGAGATTTTAAATTAATTTTAACGTCTTTGCACGACATCGCATAACGCGTATTTCTCGTCGTTATTGTCGTCGTCGTTTCGTGTAATTTTTACCGTGCGGCAATTGATTTTTGTCGTAGTCGTTGCGTCTCGCGTAATGCTTGTCTGAATCATAATTTTCACGCGATTTCTCGTCTTGGATGCGTTTTGCTACCTAGCGGTCTTACTGAAATTTATGTTCTCGTATTAATTTTTCCACTTTTTTCCGCATAAAAAAAACAACAAAATTTACCGGCAGGGTCGAATTCGTTTTGTACTAAGTATGAAATAACTTCAGTTACTTACAGTATTATATTGATGCATCAAAAAACTACGAACCATTGGTCGTTTCGATTACTTTGATGTGTATAATTAAAAAAAAACTTGGATCTGTATAATTAATTATGTAAAACCTGCATGAACTGAGCCAATTTAGTTTATCAGATTTGCCTATTCAATCGTAAAAATGATACAAGTGCTGAGTCGATATGAATATTTCATTTACCTAGATCCATTCGAATTTGCATATTTAATAAAGAAAATATGAGTTGGGCGTATTGAGTTATTGAATTTTGCATATGTAACTATTAAAAAAATATTCAAGTACAAAGTAATAGTAAGTAACTGCGAGTTTAAGGCTCCTCTATACACACTCAGTCGATAACAAGTACGTAATTATTTTGTACCCATTTTTTTTATTCTTTGGTCAACCATTGAACTTGAAACTTCGTGGGAGTTATGATGAAACTTATACAAATGTCCCTCTGGAGCCAGTTTTCTATTAAATGACCGGTACTTTCAAACAAACTTGATTTTCTATTATCCCCCTTTTATAACCTAAAAAGTAACGTATTCTCAAACAATTAGTTAAAATGATTTTATGAACCATTTTATTGAAAACTGGCGCCAGAGGCACATTTTTATAAGTTTCATAATCACTCCCACGAAGTTTCAAGTTCAACGGTTGTCCAAAGAATAAAAAAAATGGGTACAAAATAATATCGGTATATCGGTATTTATCCCTCTGTATAGAGGAGCCTTAGGGCGCTATTATTCCGTCCGGATTTTCACGTGTATACTGTGAAGTTGGTTGGTTGGTGAGTTGAAATCATTATTTATAATAAACGAATAAAAATATTCGTTTTAGGTCGAAATGTTCATATGTCAATTTTGTGAATTCTAAACTGAGCTCTTCAAAAATTTTTCGTCTCACCGTAATATTCATTACAATATAACAAAAAACATTACTTGCAGTTATGAAGGATGTAAGAAAATGTTTGGCCAAATCTCAAAGTTCATCTAATTAAAAATCATGGAATTCTTTGAAAGATAATGGATTAACCCATAGTAAAGATTGTTCGGACGAGCAAGGAAAATTCATATGTACTATCGAACTCTGTAAAGAGAAGCATAATAGTTTCCAAACTCTGATAATTCATCTCAAAGAGCATATTCGTGATCAGGAGCTCATAACTTGCCCATATCGCGAAACAATATTTAGTACTGTCATCCTTCACGCGTCATCTCACTAAAAAACATATAAATCGGACTCCTGAAACAGAGAAAGATTTGAGCGCCGAAGATAATTGCAACAAGGTTAATGTTTCCTATAGCATGGATATCGAACAAGCTATTTCTAATAAACTATTTGGTACAGTATGTATAAACGGAAAAAATTTTAAAAGACTCACTTTAAGTTCGTTGAACCTGTACTTTTGACAATTGATCAAAAAAAACCTTTTTTACATATGTACCAATTATTGAAACACTAACAAATATGCTTCAAGATAAGTTTCTCTTTGATCAACTTGATAAAAAGACAAGGTTAGAATTTATTTATACACCTATTTGATTTATTATTTTTCTGTAATTTATTTTCAAATTAAATGACACTGCAGGAAAAGTCGTGATCAGAACAAAAAAGTTTTAAATATAAATAAGTAATAATCCAGAAAAATGTACTATATTGAATCGTGAGGGAGATGGGTCCACACTGACAAGGAGACCACCCCAGCTCCGGGTCATGGATTTGCTTCAAAATTTTTTTGTGGTCTCCTGGTACCCAATACTGAAGCTCCTTGCGCTTAGTTTGATCTCATGGGCCTCTGAGCCCATTTTTTAGAGGATTTTCCACATTATAAGAAAATCCTTGTTATTTTCTATATCGATATAGAAGTACTTAAACAAAAAAATGCAACGATCAAAAGTTTTTAAATTTTTAAAAGAATCTACTTGAATTTTTTCAGAATTTTTGAGACCATCTATCACTTAATTCAAGAGGCCCAAATTTAATGATTTTTTTTATAGATTTTAGGAATTTGTACAAAGGTGAGTGAATTTAAACTTTAAAGAACGCCCAATTTTAATACTTTAGATAATTATATAAAAATTACTTTTTTTCAGAGTTTTTTTTCATGATCAATCCGAGCAATGGAATAAGACGAGCAGAAAAAAAATAAAAACTACGACGGTACCGCTTTGAAACTGATTAAAGCTTTATCAAAATTTTCATGTGAATTCATTTTAAACGAATAAGAAGAAAGATAGTTTATGTTCCTTACTTTTGTTCTTTTTTACTAATATTAACCATAATGTTTATGGTATTAATGGAAAGAGTAAGCATTATATTGTTATTTAGAACCATAAAATACTTTCTATATATTCTACTATTACTTGATGCACTTCTGTGAAAAATTATTTCAATTCATTATTTAATAAATATTACAATTTAACCGTATTTTTAATGAAATGTATTTAATTTTTTTATGTTCACCTGCATTAAAATTGATACAAAAACATTAAAATATGATTTTTAATCATTGAAATATTTTGTGTATTTCATACTGATATTTAATGTACTTTTATGAAAAATCATGAGACTGAAAGTGAAGTTTATTTCACGTCAAATCATTAAATTTTTTAATGAGAAAGATAAATTTTCATAGCTCAAATGATTTCAATTCATAATATTTTATCAATATATATTACAATTTATCCGCTTTTTTAATAAAGTATATTTAATTTTTTTCATATTCACCTACATTAAAATTCATACAAAAACATTAAAATATAATTTTTAATCATTGAAATATTTTCTGTATTTCATACTGATATTTAATGTACTTTTATGAAAAATCATGAGACTGAAAGTGAAGTTTATTTCACGACAAATCATTAAATTTTTTAATGAGAAAGTTGAATTTTCAAAATAATTTGGAGTTATAGTTCATTTTTGGTAACTTAATTTTAATAGTTCGAGTGAATTAAATTTATAGTATTTTATTAATGATTATTACTATTCAATCGGTTTTTTAATAAAATGTATTTAATTATTTTTATGTTAAACTACATTAAAATTCATGGAAAAATCTGAAATTTCAATAAAACAAAATGAAGTTTATTTCAATCATCACATTAAATACATTTGTTAAGCATACATTAATTTTCAATGTCATGTCTTAATAATAATTAATGTTGGTGTTTGAAATAAACTTCACATTTTTTTTATTAATTTTCATGTAAAAATTTCTAACAGTGTACGATCGTGTAAGCGAGCGAGTAGGAGAGAGAGAAAGAGTCGAAGCCGCGGCCGCGCGTTTATAAACTGTGGAAATTGTGCTAATTGCGCATCGCGTGCATTCACACATACACACACACACATCACGAATGCAGCCTCGTGTGCGTCTGCTCCTTGGTGAATTTTATTTGCACGCGCCCGAGTCGTAAATAAACGCTGCTTTATTTCAATGATCGACGCGCGCCACCGCGAGTGAGTCTAGTTCGATTACTAATTTTTTTCTTCTTCTTCTTCTCTATACTTTGCCTTTCGACTAATTAGAGACAACGACATTTTGGCGAACGACGATCGAACATTTAACTGATACGACGGCGACGATGAGCTGCCGATCGTGCTCGCAACTGTGTATCAGATTTATGAACTACATCGTTCCTCTTTCGTTGAGATCAATACGCATCGATCGTAAGATGCGTGCGAGTAACCAAAACAACTCAACTCGAGTCTTTCATCGAGTTAGAATTGAGCATTCGAAAAATCGAGTAATCGAGCCTCCTCAAATCGCAAAGCGTGTGCGATCGTCTCGAAATATATTAAAAGAAGCTGCAGCGGGAGTAGATCGTCTCGTATACGTGCTGTACGTATATAATATCGTGCCGCGCGCTAAAGACAGAGCGAAAAGAGAGTAAGAGATAAGTACGACCGGTAATACCGGAACGAGAGCCTTTATACGTATTATATACAGACCAACCCGTGTATATATTATATATCGTAGTACTCGGGTTGTGCGAGTGCGCAAGGATTTGTGCGTGTGTATTATGCGGGCCGTGGAGAGCCGCTCGAACGTGTTTGCAAAAAGGACTTCGTATTCAAGGCGATTACAAATATACTCGTATAATGTATAAACGCACTCGATCTCGCGAGTGTTTATTAAATGTATAATATAGCGCTGCCAATTTTTTTTTTTTTTAACTCTCGTAGTAATAAATACACACGGCGTGAAATCATTTTTTCATCGCCGCGCGCATCGGACGTGCGTATATGTATACGATAAGTGCGCACGATCTGCTGCGCGCGCATCTGCGCACAGTTTCGATCGATACGATCGAGTACTTTTCCTTTGGACGTAGGTTAACTATCGCACGTCCATGTGTACACACATCGATTATACCTGCCTGTATACGCGCGTCGATTCATTTTTTTTTGTTCGTTTGTTTTAATTTTACATATATCGATCGTAGAAAAAAAAAGGTAAGGGGGGAAAATTTTACTCACGTAGCTGATGAGCGGAAGATTCTTCGACTCGGAGACTTTGGCTTCGATGTAGCAGGAGCCCTCGGGCCCGAAGAAGGCCACGGCGCCCTCGCAGATCTCGTCGATCATCACCCTGGTGGACTCGGTCGTGTCGCCCTTGGTGTCGTACCAGTGCATCTGAAGCTTCATACCGGGCAACAGGTTCGGATCGTTGTTGATCTGGATTGCGAGAAAAAAAGGAAGAAAAGGGTTAAATATCGTATAGAAAAAAGTATACGGTGCATAATTACAAGTCGTTGTTTATATTTATTTTATTCGACGCGTTGTTGCGCGTATTATAAGCGTCTGCGCGCGCGGCGGAATTTCGCAAATTCCGCGTGCCACCGCGTGTTGTCGTTTTCATTTTTATATAAAAATATGAATAATGCATTTATTGGCGCGCTTTGGCCATTCGTTGCCTTTTTCTTTTCTTGCCTATACTCGACGCTTGGATATTTGCTCGCGTCCATAGGCGCGACACCGGAGAATTCGTCGCTGATCAAGTGTATGTATTATAGTCGCACCACTGGGCTTTTGGCGTGTCAATACCGGTGATATTTCTAAAAATAATTCCACGCATAAAAGGATGAAGCTCCTTTTTTATTTTTTTCCATTCCTTTTTTTTTCTTTAATTTTGCGAGTCGAGCTCGGCTGCCAAAGAGTCTTGTGGGCTGCTGCTGCTGCTGCACACGCTTCGTGCACGCGTCTAACTCGATGGAATTTTCGATCGGCAAGGCCGCGCGTTCTCGGTTCTACGTCTCTCTTTGCTACTATACACACAACACGCGGCGATATTAGTGGCGCCGGCGCATGTTTGGGCTCCGAAATTTTATGATGTGTTTTTTTTCTCTCGTGTGCATTTTGTGAGTATAATACGACAGATTCGCCCGAGAGATCATCTTGTATGCGTGTGTATTTATAATGTCTATCCGACGATTTAATACCCACCGAAATTGATGTTCTGCGGAGTCAATTTTATGACATAATTTAACGTATCAATTGGATTGGGTATTTTTGAGAGAATCATTAATATAAATTGGAATATTGATCATTTAAAATGACAAAATATTGGCCGTAAAAATTGGATGTTACACGCGCCTAGGATTTGATTGTCTTCAGAGAAGCATCTGTTTTGTACGATTTTATAATAAAATTGAATTCTTTGAATACTTTTGAAAAAAAAAAAAAAAAAACAAATGAATGATTTGGACAGAATGATGAGATTGTATTTTTTCCTTTTGCTGCTTTTAAAAATGTGACGCTCTATGCGTGTTGAATATTTATCTCTAAATTAACGATCTTTCACGCCGGAGATCCTTAAATATAAATCAAGCTCTTGGCGTAATTTTGTCGAATAACGACGAATTTTTTTCCTCCTCGAACCGAATTGATAGATGTAAATACGACACCACCCCTTTACGCTCTAATGAATTCCGAATTAATCGACGCCGTGAGCTTTTTTTAGTCGAGCTAAATTTAAAATTTCTCCATACTCGCGCGCATATAACGATTATAAACAAAACGTCGATCAGGTGGAGCGAGGATATAATAATTTACAATGCGAACTACGCGTCTCGGAGTCTATACGATATAAAAATTCTTATTAGTCTGAAAGCATAATTAAAATTTCAGCGGATAATTTGGGTGCGATAGCGCTTGGCGCGTGCGACGATTGAAAACTAAATTCGTATAACGCAGCGGATAGATGGATTTAAATCGAGTTTTGTCTCGTCGTCCTTTTGATATTCAAATTATATTCCTCCGTTTTGCCTGGATGCGAAAATTCGTCGTCGTCGTCGTCGTCGTCGTCGTTGTGCAGCCGTGTATTTGAAAACCGGATTAAATCGGTAAAAACCGAGAAACGATTGCAGGAGCTCTCGGCTAAAAATAAACGCGAGGCAGTTTTTCGTTATTGATGGATCGATCATCGATCAAGCGCAGGTATTTAGAATCGATTCGTTCGAACCGCTGCACAGCTCGATTAATTTTCTCGGATCGAGTCGAATTATGAATGGCTAATGGCAATCAACGATTCATACCCATTATTGCGCTATTTGAAAATCGACCAGCGTGTAAAAAAAGGGGGAAGGAAAGAAGTCGCGATGTAGCGAGTATAGCCGAGAAAGAGGAAGCTCGACTTTGTCACATGTACATATAAGTCCGACGCTCGAAGAATACGTTAAGTGGAAGCATCATCAACATATACATATCGTCGACAGTCAATTTACACCTGCGTTATACTTGCACAAAGTATACGCATATATATGCCGGGTACATTTGATGTGCAGGCAGTGCGAGACTCGAGCTATCGGCACACACGACGCAGCAGCTGCACGTTTACTTATCGTTCGCGTCGTTGCTGTTATCAAAGTATAAACTTGGTCGAATGTCTTAAAAAATCCGACGCGAATCCTAATTTAGCTAATGCAGAGGGAATGACTCCTCTGCATTTTGTGTACTGGGGATATTGCGATGATGACATTGTGAAGGTTTTGACATTTGAAATCGATGCTCGAGATAATTTGGACAACACACCGATGACGACATAGACTTGGCAGGTTTTTTTTTCAAGATTAACGACGAGCTTGAGAATCCAGTGCGTGTCAACACCAAGGATAACATGGGTAATACTCCGCTGCATAGGGCACTTGAGTGGGCTTACGAGAAATTGACTATATTGCTGCTGAAAAAAGGTGCTAATCCCAATTTAGCCAACGAAGACGGAAAGACTCCACTACACATTATTTGCACGAGATACCGCAGTGAGAAATTGGTGAAGCTATTTTTCAATATCAATAAAGATCTCGGTCAGACTTTGTCATCGTTTTTCTTTTTGCGAATTGTTTTGAAGAGAGTTTGGTACCAGACCACGAAAAATGCCATTAGCCATTGTGTCAAGTGTCTGATGTTTTAGCCGTGCTGGAACTGCTTGAGGATAAAGGATAGGACGTGGACCGAAACTGCGCTCTAAAAGTCATGGAATTGTTTAGTAAATACGAACTGGTTGAAAAATCGGTAGACGATAAAAACTCTTGGTACGACGAGACATTCGCAATATTTGCGAAAAATATAATGATAAAACCCAATCTATCGCTGAACCAGTTGTTGCAATTACAACCCAAAGACGAGGAGAAATGATTGTCAATTGTTTGCTTGATCACGAATACAGTTCAAAGCTCTTGTTGACAATCGGCAATATTTGCATTACTTTTTAATATCTAGTGTTTGAATTTTGTAAATATTCTAAGTGATTTAAATAAATTAATTTTAAAAATGTGTACAATTTATTTAATAAAATTTGAGTTAAGTAAAGGGTTGAATTATCATCGTTTGATGTGTTCGACTCTTGATTAAGATAAAAAATATATATAAAATCGTGAGTTTTCCAAGAGGATGGCAAAGTAGCATCTAGCTTTCGCGATTTAAAAAACAACTTGTATCAACACAGGTTGATGCAAGGAGGTACCGCGTCCATTGCCGTATTATTTAATAAATAATTTTAAAAAATTAATAAAAATTGGCTTCGATTTTGAGTTTTTTCTTATTGAATTTAATTTAAGTTTCAAATGCACCAAAACATAAAAAATTTCACATCTCGCAGCTGCTCTTATACAGTAGATTATTTGTACTTTTTGATCTTTCCATTATAATCCAAAAACTATATGTTTCACCAAGACACAACTATTCCTGCGAGCTTTAACTTCTTCTTGTAATGTTTTTCAGTGCTTTCAGGTGGGCGCTACAACTTAATTGATTCGCGTTGATCTTTGTGCAAATTCGTATGTGCTAGCGAGCAGACTATACGGTGTCGCGAGTCGCGAAAGCTCTCGCTCACGAGTCAAATCTAATATATATCTCGTATATAGATATTTGGCCTAACTCCAGAAACTACATTTTCCACCAGTACAGCTCGAGTCATGCGAGACGTGCGCTATAATAATCGCGAGTAGTTGCACTAACTACGCCGTCGTCGTCGTCGTCGTTGTTGTTTGCGTGCACGGACGATGATGACGACGATCATCATCATCATCATTGTCGAACGCATATACGCATATATACGCACGAGAGAAAGAGAGAGAGAGAGAAGAGAGGAGAGTTTCTTGACCCTTGATTGTGGGTCGCAGTAACAGAACTGCTGCTGTATGCACTTGTTTCTCACTGTATGTATATAACATACGCGCGTATATAAACACACGAACAGGCTCTCGTTCCTCTCTTTTCTTTCTTTCTTTTTTTTCGGCTACTCCGACTCTCGTGTTTCGCGCAGCGCGGAGAGGCACACGCGATTGCATCGGCCTCTCGTATACGCGTACGCGTGTGCACACAAAAACACAATGAATCGATCGCTGTCTCTCTCTCTCTCTCTCTCTTTGGATATTTTTATGCCGTTTCCGCGCTATTTTCGGAACGTTTTCGCGTTATTATTAAAGTATAAGAGAGAAACGCGAAGATGAAAAAAAAAAGAAAAGAAAAGAAGAAGGCACTGACCGCGTAAACTTGAAGCTCTACCCGCACGAAATGAAGCCATTTGTGCGAATGATATCGGTAGTTTTCAAGGTGCCTTTTTTTCATTTTATAAATTTGGAACCACGGTAAAACAATTTTTTTGTCGATATTCTCTTCGTTTTCTCGAATGTACACGGATTACGCTCGTACGAGCCACGAACAATTTTTAGCAACCGATCGTATCGGACGTATTATCAATTACACAGCCACGCGGCTAACACACGCGGATAAAGGTAAAGAATATGAAAAATTTCGCTTCCCATGTGCATCGTCCCTATATATATATGGTCAACTGCATATCGGCATTGTATATTACACGCACACACGTATACACTGCCGAGTGATCTCTGCGACGACGACGACTCGTGCGCAGCGCTACATATATACGTACAGCTCGATTTTGCCAATCAGCGCGTTTTCGAGTAATTGAAGGGCGTCCGGTCGTGTCGAGCCATATATCCCATTGCACTGCGTGCATCTTGTGTGTGTATGTATATGTGTGTGTGTGTGTATATAATGTGCACCTATAGCTAGCTCGTCTGTCTCCGTGTGCATGTGTGCGTACATGTATACGTACACGTATGCATAAATCGTGATAATACGAGACTGGCGGCAGCGACGCATCGGAGTAAAGACGACTCGCTCGTATATGGGTAAGGCTCGAAATTTTTTTAAATGATTGCAGTGAGCTGGTGGTCCTCGAATTTGGACTTGTGCTATTGGTATTTTTTCACAACCTAGAAAATTAATGGAAAAGCCGAGATTGTAGCTTGCATCCGGTAAAAATCTCGTCTGTTTTTTCTTTCGATACCGATCCAAAGCCTGTGTTGACTTGAAAAAATCTGAAAAATTTCACAAAGGTAACCTTTGATAAATCACGTTTTTCTAGTAAAGTGACGGACGTGAAAATTCTGAAAAACGGATGTTCGTACAATTTATTCGGCATCCAAACGAAATCGGTACGTTTAGAATCTCGACTCTATTCTCATTTATCTACATTACACAAAGGATATCGAAAATACGTCGAAATCGGAGGACTCCGCGATTATTTAAAAGATTCCGAGCCTTGCCCATATACATCTATACGCGCGCGCGATAGAGTTTACTTCTCAGGGACGACGAGTCGAGCAAAGCTTGTTTTTCTCTCTCTCTCTTGCTCACTCTTCCGAGGCTTTTTTCCGATGCTGCATACGTGCATGTATGTGTGCGTGTGCATGTCTATACGCTCCTCCAGTCCGCACGCGCGATCGAGCTTATATACTTTCTTTGTCACCGATCCCCCGAGCGCAACTATATAAACACTCCACACACACATAAAGAGTCATACGTCGAGTCGGGTGAAATTTCCACTTGTACTTTATACTACAATGTTATACCTATGCGTTGTTTTCCGTCTCGCCTCGAGGTAGCAGCAGCAGCAGAATTTGTTTGCATAGGTAATCGGTCGTGCGCGAGACTTACGAGCTTGCGTTGAAATATATCACGCGAAAGATGACGACGACGACGACGACGAAGCGCGTATTTTATAACTATAATATAGGAGAGTCTCTCGCGAGCTTCTCTCCGCGTCGGCGATGTATTTATTAAGCCCAATTAACTCGTGCAATTTATGGCTTTTAATTTTTTCCACGCCGCGTATATAGCGGAATAAGTGAAAAAAAAAAACAAAGAGAAAAACGAATAAAGCCGCGGAAAGACGAATCTTCGAGTCTTGATCGAAATCGGTATAACGCGTGCATTATATCGATCTGCGCGCGCGGTCCTCTTTATAGCCGGGGCTAACACTCGAACGTCTCTCGTAATACGTCGTGTCAATTTTCCCATGGCCCATATTCGAGTTTCGCTCGGCCCGATCTATAAATAAACCTGAATTATAAGCGATGATTTTGAACTCGCGCGCGTTTGTCTCTTTTTTTTCCTTCGCTCTGTCTCTCTCTCTCTCTCTCTTTCTTGCTGCATTATAAAGACACAGTGCAGTGCAACGACGACGACTGCCTCCTTCTTTCGTACCAACTTGTCTCTTTTTCAATACAGGCCTTTACTCCCTCTCGTATATGTGTACACACACATACATAACTTCTCCTCGCGGGATATGTATTTTTTTCTTCCTTCTCTCTGTCTCTCTTATTCTGTGTGTGTTACACGCGATCGTGGGAATCGAATCGGGCACCGGTTACGCCTCGTGTTGCTCTTGCCTCGCGTTTGTGTGTGTGTGTCTTTTAAACACCCTTTTCTCGAATGCACACACATATGCACACACATGTGTAGGAAATCGCAGACGGGAAAGAAAGCGAAAAGTACTCATTTGCGCGCGAGGCTACCGCTCGTTCGATTTATATATTATGCTTATCGGTCAGCGCATGCGATAAAGAGACCCACTTATAATATACTTGTGTGTGTGTGGTCACTGCTTTCGCGTGAATTATAACGCGGTACAATATGACGACCTTTGTAATAATTACATTATCGTCGAAATGCCCTTACCTCGTCAACTGCCATGGAGAAGGCGCCGGATATGGCCAGTCCTTGGCGATCCTTGAGATCGCCCTTGACCGCGGTCAGGTAGACGATGGTGAGATTGCGCGGCTCCCTCGGCGGTCGCACCAAGCTGCTGCTGTTGATGTTGTTCATCGTCATGCCGTTGCTGCTGCTGCTGCTGCTGCTGCTGCTCGTCATTATCGCCTCCAGAGCCGTCACATTGTTGTTGCTGTTGCTGCCGTTGGTCTCGTGGACCGACGACGTTGTCACGACTATCGATCGCGGCCCGACGGCGTAAGAGAACGACGAGTCGTTGTTGTTGTCGTTCGGATTGTCGTTGTAGATGGCAATGCCGTTGTCGCCGCTGGCGAGCGAGTTGGCGGCCACGGCGCTTCCGACAGCGTCGATGACGGGCGTGGCGATGATCGTCGGCGTCCAGGCTGCGACGACGAGCAGCAGCATCGGCAGCAGCCGCAACAACGCGACGGCACCGAGGCTCCTCCTCCGTAGCGGCCGCCGACCGTCTCTTCCGTTGCTCTCGTTGAAATGGCATTGCTGCTGTTGCTGATTGTTACTGGAATGAAATTGACGACTAGATTGCGAGGACACTTCGGATGTTGCTGTTGCTGTTGTTGACGACGACGGCTGCTGGCGACGGGTGGGCCTGCGGCGGCTCGTGCACGGCGGGCCGGGGCGCATGGCCGCCGTCGCCACCGGTCAGCGCCTCCTTCTTTTGTTTCACCTGCAACAGCCCGAACGAAAAACAACAAAAAATTAGAAAAAAATCAACACACGCATCGCGCGATTATACGTTATGTATATATATAGTGTTGCTCGAATTTCAGCCTATTTCATATATATATATAGCAAGTATAATAGCGCTGCGTTTGATCTTACACTCATTATATGCTAAACGCTTAGACCGCATCCAATTGCACACGCACACACATACACACGATTAATAATATCGAGCAGAAAGGCTATGATTGCGGATCTCTCTCTCTGTCGGTCGGTCGGCCGCCGCCGCGAGCTCGACTATTAATTACGATTCGCTGAGCAATTGCTCGCGCGCGCGCGCGCGCCAAACGATCTATCCCCATTATGGAAAACGGCATATAATACGAATATAATTGCGCGCGTGTCGTGTAACGCGAAATGCCGCAGTCGATATATATCGTATATACATAATTACAAACTTGGCAGATATTATACTCGCGGAGACAAAAAGTAGAGAGAAAAAAAAAGAGCACGAAAATTGATAAAAGAAAATTACACGTCTCCTTTATGTAATTCCGGGCGAGCGAGTTTCTCGGTAAATTCATGAATTATTGAAAAAAACAAAGCGCGCAGCTCTTGCTCGCAGCTCGTTAAAAATTTATAAATACATAATTTTTACCATTACGAGCGGCTAATTATTCCCTGCCTCTCGCGAGCGCGACATCGTTATATATATATGTCACGGTGCGTCGGTTCAAAGTCACGTGTCACGCGCGCGAATTTTAGTCTCGGACTTACGGGCACTCTTCTATTAATAATATCGCCTTCTAACTTTGAGTCGCGCGCGCTAAGATGTAAAATTAACGATTCGACGCGGTGTAATTCGATTTGTGCCGCAGTCGTTTTTTGAACGTGCCACGCTCTCAACGGTACAAAGGCGCAGCGCAATTGGTCATGTGTATAACAGCGGCAGAGCGGCAGATCGTTAAACGATTCAAGCGACTGAAAAAGCAGCTATATATGTACGCGTATCGTGTGCTGTGTGACGTTTGTCGTCGGCGTTACACTCCGTTTAAATTGTATGCCGCAGCGCGCGCGGCACGCAAAAATAGCCCTGTAACTATATAATACAACGTACACTAGTATATAAACGGGGAAAAAGGAGGTGAAAAAAGTTCCACTCGCGCGCGCGCGCCTGTGTGCATTATAAACGTTTGGAAAATGTCACGCCTCTGTTAACAGATGTAACGTGTGTGCGAGGTATTACAAAGGTAAACTCCGCAGCGGCAGAAAATAATAATGACGTAAAAAAAAAAAAAAAAGAAGAACGAGCACCGATTAATAAGGCAAATATTTGTCTCGTTGCTCGGTGTTCGCTTGTATATACACTCGGCTTCTCCTCCTTCACCTCCTCCGCAGCCGCAACCGATCGGGCTTTTAATAAAAAGTAAAGAAAAATTTATGACGATTTTCGAAGGTACTCGAGCGCGCGAGTGCGGGCGTTCGTCGAAGGTTAATCCAATAAAAAAAAAGGCAAAGAAGAAGAAGAAAAGGTTGTATCGAACGGAATCATTGAAAGTAAAGTCGCGCATGAGAGAGATGATAATTGCTGACCGCAGTGCACACGATTACGCTGCCAGATATAGGTGCGGTATCGGCGGCGGCGACTATCACACAACACGCCCTTATAAACTTGTGTAATCGTTATAAAAAAAAAAAACGCACGGAACTTGCCCCTGTCGCAATTCCATCGATCTGCAGCCAAGGAGAAAGAGACTCGCGCGACTGAATTTATTGAATTGTGCACCGAGGCGCACATGTGTCATTTGTGAAAATATATAATAATATAATAATACATTACCGCGGACGGGCGGGCGCGCGCGCGCAAGCTCGAGCAAACATTACATTTATCATTTTTTTTTCTCTTACTTGCTTCTTTCTAAAAATAACCCGGTAATATCGTTCCTACAAATAATATTTTATCTCTCGCTCTCTCGGAGTTTAATTCGCGTACAAACACACAAATGTTACGCGAGTATATACACGGACGAATCGGATTTTTTTTCTTCTTATATTTTTGCTCGCGCCGCATGATTTTTCTCCCGCTCTCGCGCGATATTGTATTTGCACGAAGAGGAAAAAAATAATAAAGAAGCTACGACGACGACGACGACAATCTTTTTAAACATTTAATAATAACGACACACATCGATTGATTTTTATCGGTGATCTCTCGATACAGAGAGCGAAGCTACAATTGTCGAGTATATACGTATAACGGCCTGGCCAATGCGGAGCCGAGCGACACTGAAATGTGAACAATTTTCTATATGCGTTTCTTTGCTCGGAGAGCTCTGCGCCTGTATGGTATATAGTAGAAGACGCTTCTCGAGCGTTGGCTCGTTGGGAAAAATTAAGGTCAACACTCTTTAGGCGCATTGCATCTCCTTCGGTGCGCGCGTACATACACACACACACATGCACCACCGACAAATATTGATAGCATTCCGCGCGCAACTGCCGTTGTGTGTGCTATTTTTATCGCGATCGCGTTGTTTACCTCGTGCGCATCGCCGCCGCCACCACCGCCGCCGCGCGGCTAAAAATTGATCCGAATTGTTTTATTTTTGCGTTAGTGCGCTCTTCTTTTTTTTTTTGATCTTAACTCTCTCGCATCGAGAAATCATCGAACTCGAGCGAAATGACATACACGCGATTTCCGCGCAATTGATTTTTGCGCCGGAAACTGCACACGATCAGCGACGGAACGAAGTAGAAAAAACCACTGCCGATCGTACAAATAAGTAAACAAAATCATTCTACTCACTTTCGAGCTTATCGTACGGACGGAGCTTCATCGTGGAGGAAGCGTAAAAAAAAATCATAAACTCGCGGCGCGGCGCAGTCGTAACGTAATACGAAGCCTCGAGGATGCATAAACTACTCGCCAATATATAAAGGAAGCTTTAACAAGCTCGGCGGCGATGATACGCCGCGTGGCCAAATTAATTAGTGATCTCTGCACTGTCTTACCACGTGCGTCTCGCTATTTTTATTTATTTATTTTTTTGTTTCGCTCCTCCCGCGCGGCTGCTTCACTTATGCTTTTTATATACTTTGCAGCAATCTTTATAAACCTCTCGTCGATCACGCTCGATTGAATTATACGCACACACACGACGAGCTAATTCACAAAATGTATATCCATTAAGAATCGGCCCCCGAATCATAAACGATCTACGTAGACGAGCCCGCATGGTTGTTACCGGATTATATACATGTATTCTAAAAATAAACAGCCGCACGCTTATTATAAAGCTCGCGAATCCTATAAATAACCCCATGTGTACGGTTTGCGCGCCGGAGGCTCGAGCCAATCGTTGTATATATAATATAATAAAAACGATACGTCGGTATGTACAATCGTGTGCAGTCAGCTGTACGTATATATACGTAAATATATAGCGCTCGGTTCGACGCTTATAAACCGATCGACGTATAGCCACCGTCGTGCCCCGCGTTTTAAGCGTTTTCTAATTCAGTAATTGAAGTGGCGAACGCAGGCATTATACGAACGCGGCGGCAGCAGCGCAAGCCTAAACTGGTGCGCGCTAGATTAATGCTGCAGCACAACCACTCCCTTGCTGCCTGGCCATATAGTGCTTATAAGCGGCGCAGTGCTACTGCTGCGGGACCGGATAACAAATCCAGGAAGCGATCTTACGATGTATGTAGGAAAAATTTGTAATGTGTGCGTGAGCGGCAATTTTGAAGGCGCGCGAAACTTCGCATTTATTACATACACGTATATAGACATATTTCACGTTGTAATTGAAAGATGTGTCCGTTTAATAATGACACGGCTCTATATATCGTGCGGTGCGACAAAACGTCGTGTATGATATGTACCATATTCGACGATCGGCACATGTGTGTGTGCGTAAGCTGCAGCAACGACGACGACGACGACTCACGAGGCAGTTTGACGTCAAATATTTAAAGACTATGGGCAATTTGTCCGCGCGCGCGCGCTCTATTTTTAGAGAGAGTTTTACAAGCCGCAGAATTGGCCATTTTCACCGCACCGCGGGGGCATTATTATATTGTGTATGTATATGGCATTCAGGCGGTTGAGCAATGGTCGCACGAGCAGAGATTTGTTCTATACATTTTTTTTTTTTCTGAATTCCTCGAGAGAGAGACCGGCCGCAAGCCACGATCCGTTTACTAATGTACAAGCTCGCGAGCTCTCGGATTTTAATTGCGCCAATAGCGATAAGAGCTCCGAGCCCGAGAGCTAAGTAAGCCGCGCGAGCTTTGGAATTTAGCTTGTTAAAATGTGAAAAAAAAAAACAAAAATAAAAGAACGAAGAAGAAATGCACACGTGTTTTTATCGCGAATCGATAATTAATAACTCGCACGTGCGCCCGAATATACACACGCTCTCGAACGGCAGAGCATCTACCGTTATTTATATATTTTTCGTTATTTTAACGTCGAAGAGAGAGAGAAAACGAGACAGCGACGATTTTACCGATTCTCTACCCCGAAAAAACGACCAAGACGACGGCGACGACGACAACGAGGGACTTTTAGCTTCAATAAACATTTCGCGCGCCGTATAGGAATCTAGGCTTCGACGTGCTCCACATTTGTGCATATAATGCACGAAAATGCACATACGATATTGGTCGCATACCACCGTCGTCGAACGACACGTTATAACTGCTCGATATTAAAATTCGTCGACTTCAAAGCCGCCCCGTCGCGTCGTATAATCCCGCGTTTGCCTCGCGTGCGCGCGCGAGAGACTTTGCACCTGGGAAAGATATTTCGCTTCGTTTTGCGGATCGTTAAAAGCTTCTCGTTGCGTGCAGCAGGACTAAAAGAGAGAGAGAGAGAGAGAGCTGAGATATAAAATTTAAGAGCCACGCGATCAAAGTAGTATATACTCGGATACATCATAATTCCGAGATGGGCAATAAAAAATATCTCGGGGTTGGGTATATACGAAAATAAACGCGTTACATGTGCAGTGTGGCTCGTGTGCGTGTTTGTCTTTATAAGAGCTTCGCTCGGTGATAACTGTTTTTCGAACTTCGCGGATACACAGCGAAAAGGTTATTAAATGAATACACGACTAGAGTTGACGCAATTTTGCAATTAATATCTCGCGCTTCGAAGGCAGATATCGGAGTATACATAGAGCTTTTACAGCGTCGCGTTGATAATACGTTTCAACGAATACATACCGTGCGTGATGCATTAGAAGTTAAAATAGTTTTTTGGGGAAAAACGTCGGAACCGCTGTACGGAGATAGTAGAAAAAAAAAGAAGCAACGCGTAAACAAACACGAGTCGCGGTTACTCATTAGCAGATTATAACTTCAAAGACCCCCCCGGTATACAGTACATGGAACACGTGTTGTACATTACGCGTGACATCAGCGATTTTTTTTTTTTTCGTTAGTTTCTCGAGAGCTTTGATCTTACGGGCTCGCGTGTGACAAACGTTGCCATCGGTATTTAACTCGTTCGCACGTATTATCGCAATAAATATAATCTCGTGGCCATCGAACACATAATATAAGTAAATAAATATGAATTTAAAATGCAGACGGGCGATAGGCCAACGATTATGTGCGCGACTCTTTTGCGGATGCGAGATCGCGTGTGCCACAGTGCGTGGAATAATATCGCGTGTGTGTGTTAGTCCGCGCGACGGAAGAAGCCAAGGAACGACAAAAGATAATTGCCCTCTCGTTGCTGCTGGAAAGCACATAACTTATACGTGCTATATAACTATCCGATACGTGCGCGTCGTCGTATAGTTGAATCGAATCACGAATGCGCGCGTCGATTGTTCACCTCTCTATAAGCCTGCAGCTAGCTTTTACACGTACTATATAAATGCACGAGCGTTTCACAGCTCGGGAAAATATCGCAGTTTTATAAATCGATGAAATTACAGACCGATCGATTTTTTTAATAACAGCGGTAATGGGAAAATTTAACGATTTATCGATGGATCGGAGATCATTGCGACAGAGAGAGAATAGATACCGATAATGGATTCAATCAAAATTCAATGATTTTACCTTTTTTCTTACACTTTCTCGTGCCGACGAATTATCAGTATCGATCAGATGTTTACTATTTCGCCGCGAAACCATTTACGATTTTCCAAAGTAATAGTCGAGATCGATGTTGCGTTTAAAGAATGTGACAAAGATAATAATAAATATCCCAGGGGGTACTCTAATGCGCGAAAAATTAACTCAGCGATTCGACATTTATTTACGCGACATGTAGATTTCAATGATATACGAGTACATCTCGATTTGGCTCTAGTGCGTTTCGAAATTCAATTATACCGCGATTGATAAGAATAGTTTGCAATTGTTTTAAGGCGAATTTCCGCGCGCTCGCGCACATGCCGCTACGGACGGCGCGCGGCGTTACTGCCGTTGCCGCTGTGGCCGTAGAGAGCCGAAGGTCGTCCGCGCGCGAATATATTTTTAGTTTTTACGATTTTTGCAATGGCTCTCGAACGAGATGATAGCTTTTATCGCCGCGTTAAAAACGATTAGAAAAAAAGATACGCTCCTCTTTCTCTCTTTGTCTCTCTCGCTCTCTCCTTTGCTGCTTCAACGAGCCGAGTAATGCCCGAAAGGGTTAATAAAGTAAAAATAGAAGAGACGATTGTTACGAGCAAGTGACAATGATATTGCAGAGTTATAAACGGTGGAATATGCTTAACATGATCATTTGGGGACCGAACACGTTTTGGTCGGTGGATCATAATACGCGGAGGATTGGACGTTTTTACTCGTTTAATTGAAAAATAATATTCTTTATGTTCAACATGTATTGCAGATCTTTTGAAAAAAATCATAAAATATGATTTAAAATTCTTCATTAGTAAACCTTTAAGATTTAAGTAGCATGCTCTGCTTTATACGATTATTTTCACTTTAACACTTGGAGGTTTGCAGATAAAGCTACTCGCCATCTAGCGGTGGGAGCTTGAATTAGCATTATTGTAGTAAAAGTGATTGAAAGCTTGTCTTAATTTTTTGAAACGGTTAAATTGTAATTTTCAGATCACGCAAAGTGCGCTTAATATTTTTAACATAATTTTAATAGAAAAATCCGAATATGCTTTGAGCCCGAAGTAAAAATTTATCTCAATAAACTGGATGGCTAAAAAGGTGCCAAATCCTACGTTTATTGAAATACCTTTTTGCTCCGTGGCAACTTTATGGCAGACAAAAAATTAATCAATCAAAGATATATCATAAAAATGCGATTAAATTCACCTAAACAACATTGCAGGTTGACTTCAGCAAGAAGACAGTATGTCTAAATAGTCTATTCGTTTATCATGACGCCGACAACCAGATTTTCGTTGTCCTTTGGCGTTGAAAGCTAGCAACCACCTGGAAAAAGAAAAACCAAAGTGCACATTGCGTGAGTCTCGGTCCATTGATATTTGTTCATTTAAAGTTTGAATTATTATTATAATAATCAAGCACAAAATTAACATAGGAATATATACGTGTTGCTAAGAATATACATTTCTATAATAATCTTTACGACTAATGGTTCATAATTCAAGCTTCGCAACGAGTCAACAACAATATCCGAGGATTATACCTAGTTTTCGAAATTTCCTCTGCATAACACAAACATGCACTTGAGGCAAATCCAAAAACTGCTCAAAATTTATTCAAATGACTCGTCTCTCTCTCTCTCACTCGCTCCTTCTTCCGACGTAATTTGCACAAGTGATGATAACAGCGGAGTCGGATAATTATCGCCAAGCGCGGCTATACGAAACGTTGCATAATTCCCGTTTGTGTGCGACGATACGTAGTGCGCCCGAGTTTATATGTATACCGGGGCGCGTTCGTACACAGCTATACACATATACACGCGCGGCTCGTAATTGAAGGTACACAATATAAGTACACGCGTATGTGTGTGTAATGCAGCTACGCTTGTAGTACGTACGTCGCGCAACGCGGCAAACGTATCCGTTTACGCATTCGAATGGCCGAATTATGTAAAGCAAGTGTCGACGTATTAATTATTAGCCCGCGTCGAGTGCGCGCGCACGCGGGTGTGCGTGAACTGTACGTACGTACGTATGCTCGCTGCAGCCTCTCGAACGCAGCAAAAACAGCACGACCCGACGCACGCACGAGACCGAGAGTAGCGAGTAAATTTACTAGTCGTACCGATCGTCGGCGGCTTATTGCTCACTTCGTTTCTTCTTTTACCAAAAATACATACATATACGCTTCCTTATCAGCGAGAGTCGCGGCACCAGATATATATATAATACATAATTTTAATTGTGATACACTCGTGAGCGATGTATAAAAACGTGCGCGCGGATCCACGTGTCGCGCCCATATAAAATTTTATATACAATAAATATAGGCACGTACGTGTGAGTGTGCTTATATAGCTAGCTGAGCATGTTTACCTGTTATTGATGTTCGACGAAAATTACTAGACCCGCAAGAGAGGAGGCAAAAAAGACGAGATAAAGGCTATTAACCGAATAGAGTAATCTCGCTTGACGATCGTCGACGATCGGCGTGATTCTCTTTCATCAATCATGTCGATCGCTTTCTTTTGTATCGCAACGAGTAATACAATAAAGAACATCTCGTTCTCTCTTTCGTTTTATTAATTTCTTTTTCATTTAAAACCATCCTCTTTCCCTCTCGTCGCGCGAATGTGCGTGCGGCAGAAAGAGAGAATCCAGTAATTATATCCAGTTTATACGCATACGCCGCACACAGATTGCGCAGATTTGCGCGTGGGGGGGCATTATATACACACACTTTTTTCTCTCTCTCTCTCTCTCTCTCTCTCTCTCTCTCTCTCTTCATCCTCGACAAACTGAGCCGAGCTGCACATAAGCAGTAAGCACTTGCGCATACCCATATGTATATTTATTATATTTATTTATTTACGCCGCGCAAGGTAGATGCCACACACGCATTTGGCTTTGGCGTAATTTACACACACACACACAAACACGCTCACACACATACAGGCGTGCGCGTAAAGAGTTAAGCACCAAAGGAGTTGCAGCAGCAGCAGGCACGGCGGCAGAGAGTCAAAACTCGTTTTAAATCTCGTTCTCTGGCTCTTTCTCGCTGCGTTGAAATGTGTGGCTCGAGCTCGCAGGCAACTGTTTGAGCTGCAGCCGAGGATATTAAATATACGGTGACCGTATGTATGTACGTGTGTGCCTGTCTGTATACGCGACCAGATCATCAACAAACGCTGCGCGAAGTACATCGATTGCGCTTATCGCGTCGTCGACAGCTGGTGTCTCTTCTATGCAAGCGTTTTTATGAAAACAAAAGTATAAAGAAAAAAAACCAAGCGGCAAAGCCGATTTTTTGACGCGTCGGGGCGATCTCTAGCCGAGGGTAATTTACCTGCGTCGCGAATACATACTATATATAATATTAAATACGTAGAGATTACGTTTGTACATCATCGTTCGAATAATTTATACGCGCTGCAGTAATTGGCATGGTTTTTTCCTCGACCATCGGCGAAACCCGCGTACATGTACTTGATAAATATCGAACGGAAAGAAACGAATCTGAGATATTCATCTATTTTAAATTTTGCGGAGAATTTCTGAATGTAAGCCAAAGTTATATAATAACAATAATTATGAATGAATTAATGTAGATAAATTCGTCGCGGGGTTCATATATCGTCGATTTACAAAATTGCACCGCAAGCTAAAGGCCAGTACGATCTATCGATAACGAGTTGCGACATATTTTGCATCGCGTGCACTTGGAACAGCTGTGTTCAACTGTGCGCAAGAGTCGTGTCCATGGGACAATTATATAGAAAAAAGCTATAACAGATCTGTAACGTTCGATTAGCCAGATAGCGTCAACTGTATATACATAATCAATAGGCGCGCGAATCAGCTGGTAAAAGCGGCAAAATCGTTTGCCGATCTGAGCGTCTATAACCGATCTCGATCAGCTCGTCGATTCCTCTATATACGCACACTGGTCTTTTGCGAGCGTGCAATATGCTCTTATGCGTGCGTACGAGGCATTGTAGATATAATTAAATACACGCGGTGCGCTACACATATATACGAACGCGATCGAGTCCGGTTTCGCTGCTGCTGCTGCTTCTACGGGAGCTATTACGTCTTTTGCAGGCACGCATATATATATCTGTGCATATATGTACACCGAACGAGAGAGAAGTGACTTTGCCAGACAAACTGGCAGCAGTAGCAACAGCGCGTTGTCGAGCCTTCGCCAATGCGTGCTATATAGGGGAGAACCGCCTATTATGGCGCACCTAATGAATTTTGACTAATAACAAAAAATGTACTCGATGATATGAAATTACATATATTATAAACTGAACATTTTATTCCTTATACCTTAATCTTTGAAAATGCACCCTTCTTTCTATGAGAAATGTGTTTATTTATTCATAAACAAGGATTCTAAGAAAGTTGTCACTGCGCCGCGATCGGCTCGTTTTTCGCCTATTATGGCGCATATGCTTTTCAGGCTTTAACCTCAAAAAGTGATGTCGTCTGTTTTCGAGGCGCACATCAAATTAACACGTAAAAACGTGCGCCATAATTGGTCCCGATGATGCGCCGCAATAAGATAAAAACAATGCTCTCTTATATCGCAAATTACTCAATAACCAATTGATGAATCGTCGATATTAAAGCATCATGTTAAAGTAGAGCACAAATTTAACATGATGCGCATTTGAGCTGTGAACACTCTGTATTCTCAAGTTTAAAACTCGTAATTATTACATGAAAACAGCCGAATTTTTTATATTGCTTGTCATTCATTATTGAAGATATAAAGCAATAATTTTTTTTGCAAAAATTAAATGATTGACATGTATAGAATATACCACATAAATTTTAGTTAGGTGAAATGTCTCAAACTATGCTAAATGAACGTGCGCTGCATTATGCGCTGCGCCATATTAAGCGCTTCTCCCCTATATATATATATGGGTCAGATTCAGAATTTTTCAAATAAACCTGCGGGCGAGGTTCACGGATTTTCCTGAAATTTTGGTATGTTATAGTACATGATAAAAAAGTGCCAAAACCAAAATTTTGGACCCCCTCCCCCCTCCTACCCCCCTCCTCCCCTATAGACGTCCATTTTCTATCTATATTTTTTCTGAAGGCCTGAAGCTATTAAAAAATCTGAAAAAATTCATGAAGGTACTTTTCAACAATCC